TGAAGCAGGCTGAGGCTGAGGCAGGCTGAGGCAGGCTGAGGCTGAGGCTGAGGCAGGCTGATGCTGAGGCAGGCTGAGGCTGAGGCTGAGGCTGATGCAGGCTGAGGCTGAGGCAGGCTGAGGCTGAGGCCGAGGCTGAAGGCAGACTGAGGCTGAGGCTGAAGCAGGCTGAGGCTGAGGCTGAGGCAGGCTGAGGCTGAGGCTGAGGCAGGCTGATGCTGAGGCAGGCTGAGGCTGAGGCTGAGGCTGATGCAGGCTGAGGCTGAGGCAGGCTGAGGCTGAGGCCGAGGCTGAAGGCAGACTGAGGCTGAGGCTGAAGCAGGCTGAGGCTGAGGCTGAGGCAGGCTGAGGCTGAGGAGGCTGAGGCTGAGGCTGAGGCAGGCTGAGGCTGAGGCTGAGGCAGGCTGATGCTGAGGCAGGCTGAGGCTGAGGCTGAGGCTGATGCAGGCTGAGGCTGAGGCAGGCTGAGGCTGAGGCCGAGGCTGAAGGCAGACTGAGGCTGAGGCTGAAGCAGGCTGAGGCTGAGGCTGAGGCAGGCTGAGGCTGAGGCTGAGGCAGGCTGATGCTGAGGCAGGCTGAGGCTGAGGCTGAGGCTGATGCAGGCTGAGGCTGAGGCAGGCTGAGGCTGAGGCCGAGGCTGAAGGCAGACTGAGGCTGAGGCTGAAGCAGGCTGAGGCTGAGGCTGAGGCAGGCTGAGGCTGAGGCTGAGGCAGGCTGATGCTGAGGCAGGCTGAGGCTGTGACTGTGACTGCGACTGCCGTTGCCACTGCGACTGTCATCGCGAATGCGACTGCGACTGCGAGAACAGCAGAATTCTACAACTGTATTCTCATCTGAATCTTAAAGGGAATGCTTCCAGATATGCTTCTACACATCGCTGTTAGGTTGTTTTGCCGGGATATTTTTAAAGAACCAAAAGCCACCTGAACCTGAACACGCCAGGCACCTCCCTGTGAAAATCAACACGTGGAGGCGGATCGAATGGCCTTCGGCCCTCCCCGTCACCGTACCTTGGTTGTGAGTATGAACCCTGTTGGATGTTCATTGTGATCTCGTGGGGGGCCTCTCGGGGGCCTCTTGGAGGCAGTTTTGAGGCCTGCTGGGGGCCGTTTGGGGGCCGTTTGGGGGCCTCTTGGGGCCTCTTGTGGGCCTCTTGGGGGCCTCTGGAGGCATCTTGGGCGCCTCTTTGGGCCTCCTGGGGGCCTCTCGGTGCGGAAGATCACGGAATGTCGGTTTGTGTTTCCTCTCTTGGGCCCTTCCTGGGGCCGTCTTGAGGCCCTCCTGGGCTCTATTTGGCGCTTCTTGGGCCGTTTTGGAGCGCTCTTAGGCTGTCTTGAGCCCTCCTGGGCCGTCTTGGAGTGGTCTTGGGGGCCTGTGGGGGCGTTTGGAGCGTCAGAAAATAGAGAAGGCGAGACAGCCAACAACTTTCACAAACCAAATGAACATCAAGGCTTTCTGCCTCTTGGGACCCTCTTCGGGGGCCTTTTGGGGGCGTCTTGGAGGCGTCTTGGGCCATCTTGAACCCATCCTGCGCGTCTTGGAGCGATCGATCAGCGACTCGGGGCTCTCTTGGACCGTCTTGGGGTGTGGTGCGGCCCTCTTGGCCCGTCTTCGGGCCCTCATGGGCCCGACAGGGTCATGCGGGAAGATGACCTGGAGCCCGAAGGGCACGCGGGAAACCCAAAGAGATTTGAGAATCTGGTGCCCGGGCCTTTACGAACCCCTCTAGGCTGAGGACGGAGGCTCAGAGTATGAGGCAAATGACTTGAGGATACTCCCGATCCGTGCCCAGGGGTACGATGCGTTACGTACCCAAGGATTCGTGTTAATTCTTTCTTCCGGATTCCAGAGAAAAGAGTTCGTTCATTAATTATATATGATTGCGGATTTTGTGACCAACGGTTCCATGCGCAGGATTCAAGCGAAGGGTTCCGATTGAAGGATCTTTTCATGTGGGTTCTTCGAAAGGGGGTTCTCACGACGGGTTCCGGGTGCAGAATCGCTTACAATGAATGTATTACCCCGTACTTATCCGTACGACTTTCTCCGTAGGCATTCTTAACTAAGGTGTCATGTGTAAGGTTTTCTCGCCAAGTATTCCGTTTTAGGGACTCCTCAGGGTGTCTTACGAAGGAATATTGACTAAAGGCCCGAGCTTGGGGACCCTTGGTTAAGGATTCACCAAGAGGTCCTTGCTCCGACAGCCGTGCCTTATCAGTACATCCTTTTGAATGGGCTCCTTACCCCACTCCTTACCCCGGGTCCCCTACCCGAGGATTCATGGATACTTGGTTTAAAACGATTTTTTGCGACACCTCAAGGAGCTTTTTTCAGAGCAGTAAATAGAGAAGGCCCTCGGTGTACCCTGTGCCCATGCCCGTGTCTTTCGCGGCCCCCTGCGGCTCAAGGAGTTCTGGCGAGGGGATGGACTGGACCTTCCGAGCGCTCCAGACAGTGGCCCCGCTCGCGCCCTATCTTTTCCCCCCGCGGTGCCCCGATTGCAGCTGCGTGGCAGACTGCTCGGTGCCGTTGGGTTGCTGGGCAGGCAGCTCGACCGGTACTGCCTGGAGCAGCTGCCCCGCCCGGTCTGCCCCAGCTGCCCCGAGCTGCGCTGCCCCGTGCCGGGGCCAGCGCTGGGGGCTTTCGCCGCGGGCTCGGCGATCGGCGCCTTGGCCATCGTTCTGACTGGGCTGGCTTGGAGGCTGCGCCAGCCGGCGGCGGCAGCGGCTGACCCGCCGGCGCTCCTGGTCGCGAGCTGCTCCTGGCGCTGGACGCGGGGGGGCCCAGGCCCTCGACGGCCTCCGAGGACGAGGTGAGGCCGGCAGCGACGCCCGCACCCTTGCGGGCCAGGCACCGCTGATGGCGCGGAGCGTAGACATCCCCGAGGCCCAAGTGGCGATCGACTTCTTCGACGGCCCGAACGGGTTCAACTTCCACGTTCGGGCCTCCTCGTGCCGGCGGGCGCCGGCAAGTGGATTTGGGCACCCCCCGGACCGCAGCATGCAGTTCGGGGACCTCACGACGCCTCGTGTTGCGCCGCTCCCGGGGAATGCGCCGTTCCCTCGACGCTTGGCGGGCCAGCTGTGCGCCTTCGACCCGTTCGAGGAGGGCGAACTCGAGGCCATCCAGGAGCAGGCGGCGGCGCTGGCAGCGGTGGTGGGCATCGAGGTGCCTCGCGGCCCCGCCTCGCCGGGTGGTCGCCGACCCCGCCCATCCGCAGTTCGGGTGGGTAGGTCTTCCATACGGCGGTCAGCGGCGCCGGAGATTGGCTCGCACGGCGGGGGGCAGTGGCGCTGGCGAAGCTGGGTGCCGACGACGCCGAGGGGGTCTGCACTGTCTGCGAGAACGTGCCGGAGGAGCGCCACCAGCAGTGGCTGGACAAGAAGCACTCGGGGCCGGGCTGGGATCCTCGGGCGCGCCCTGTCTGGCGGATTGGCCCAGGCGGGCCGCGGCGAGCCACGCTGGGCCAGCCCATCGAGCCGCGCCGCCCGCAGGTCGCCAGCGACTGGGCTGACGTCGCCGCCGGAGTTTGCTGACCGGCGTGCGGGAGTCAGGCTTGGTGGTCGCTGGCCACGCGAATTACCGCGTCACGAGCGGCGGGGCGCCGCCCGGCAACGCGGCGGCCCTCGAGACTCGGTTCCTGCTCGAGGCGTCGCGGCGTTTTCTCGAGCGCGACCAGGTCGACGTCGCGAACCTCGCGGGGGCCGAGCTCATCGCGAGGAGGATCGTGCAGATGCAGCGGGCCATTCGTCGGAGTTCCAAGCACCCCGACTACTCCGGCCTAGAGGACATGCTGGCCTCGGCGCCGGGCGAGGCCCGGGGGTCCCCAGATGGGGCGGTGGCCGCGCCGTGCGGTGAGTCGGCGGGGATTCGAGGTCGCCGCGCGGTTTTGGGATTCGGGTCGTTCTCCGAGGACGTCTCGGGCGACTGGGGCATCCCAGGTCCCGTGGCCGCGCGTTGACGGGCCGCGCGGTGAGGTCTCGGAGGATTTCGAGGTCACCGCGCGGTCAGTCACCGCACCGTCTCGGGACTCAAGAGACGGGAGGGGTGGTCTCCGGCAATTTCGACGAGCGGGTCGCGCAGGGGCAGAAGACGAAGGCGGCCATCATGAAGAACACGAGGCTCTACGCGGAGGAGAGGGGCGCCGAAGCCGAGCGGCCTGCCGGCGGAGGCGGCGGGGGCGGCGGCGACAATAAGTAGCCCGGGGCGGGGCGGCCCGCTCGACCCAGCCTCCATCCCGGGAGCGGGGCCCCTGAGGGCTTGCTCGGCGGCCGCCGCAGTTTTGCGCCCAGTTTTGATCCGAAGGTTTAGTCGCCGCCATGGCGCCCGACCCCTTCCCCCAGCGCTGCCCTCCGACTTCTTCGAGGAGACCAGCCGAGAGCGACCGGCAGGCTCGGGGGCATCTTCTCGAGCCTGGGCGCACTGGCTGCCGCGCGAGCGCCGCGCGCCCTCCGACTTGGGCGGGCGCGCCAGTCGACATCCACGCTGACCCCATCGCAGGAGTCCGCGTTAGGCCCGGCGGTTCGATCGGCGGTTCGACGTGTTCCGCCGCCGCTCGACGCCCGGCCGAGAGAGGCCTTTTCAGGAGCTTCTCGAGTCCAGCAGCATCTACTCCGAGGAGGGCCGACTCACCGTCGGGCCTTTCGTCCAGGACATGGTCTCCTTCTTGCAGGGCTCGGCGGAGCCTCGGGAGGCGTTCGACCTTGTCCCCGATCACGTTCGACAAGTTTTGATGGGGCCCGAGAGGTTCCTGGAACGCCATTCCGACGAGCCATGGGCGAGGCCCATGTTGAGCCGTTCTGGGGCCCCTTCTTGAACCCGAGGGCCCGCGCCAACCGCCCGCCCTTGCTCGCGTTGCTGCGGCGCCTGGCCGAAATTGGGATCGTGGTAGCCACCCGCTGGAAAACGGCGACTGTGGGCTCGTTCTTCGTCGGAAAGAATGGCGCCCGCCTCCGCGCCATCGTGGGCGGCCCATCCAGTTCCACGCTCTGCTTCCTCAGGCCAGCATGGCATCGGTGGAGGCTCTCGCGTCGGCGCAGGCCGGGGCAGACTGGCGCCGACGCAACTCGGCGAGCTCGGACGACGCCGCCCTGCACGCAGCCACGGTCGACTTGAAGGACGGCTTCCACCAGTTCAAGAGCCCGCATTTGTCTGAGTGGTTCGCGCTCGACGTGCCGGGCGTCCGCGCGATGGACCTTGGCGCGCAGCAGGTCTACGGCGGCGACGCGGGCTCCTGTGTCGAGGCTGCCCCCGACGACTACGCGTGGCCGGCTTGCAGCGGGCCGTCGATGGGTTGGTCTTGGGCTCTCTGGATCTGCCACGAGTCGCTGGCCCATGCGACGAGGTCCTCTGCGGACCCCCACGACGCCGCGGTTCTGGACAAGGCGCCGGCGGTGCGCTTGGAGCGGGACATGGCGGGGGGCTTCCCGCGCGCCGACAACGCCGGCATCATCGGGGTCGAGCGCGACCTCGTCCGCGCCAGGCTCGAGCGCATGACGGCGGCCCTCGACCTGCTGGGGCTGAAGTGGCACGAGGCAGGGCGCGGGCGTCGAGGTGGAGATCCGGGGCGTCTTCGGCCCAAGCAGAAGCGCCTCTGGCGACTGGGCGGCGGCCTGACATTCCTCCTGAAGTGGCGGAAGGCTGCAGGCTGGCAGATACCTGCTGTCCTGGGCCACCTGGTGTCCTTCTTCCAGCTGCTGACGCCGGGGCCCTCTGTCTTCCGCGCGCCGTGCGACTTCGCCCGGCAGTACCTCGGGGAGATGAGGGGGCTGCCGACGGCCGCGTTGCACGTGCAGAGGGTGGCCAGATCGTTCCTTTTCATGTCCGCGGGCCGCTGGTGGCCGCCGCCCTGCCCCGTCGCGCTCATGACCGGCGCTTCCACGAAGGGCCGCGCGCTCCAGGAGACCGACGCGACGCCCGACGAGGTCCACGACCTGTGCCGATTCCGAGAGCGAGCTCGCCCCAGCTGGCGCGAGAGTTCGCGGGGCGGAAGCGCGGCGGCTTCAAGGGCTCCCCGGCGATCGGCGACGCTGGCGAGGGTAGCGAGGATCTTTGGGTGCATCTTCTTTCGTGAGGACCCTCTGGTCGCGCTTCCTGAGCAAGGCTTCCGCATCAAGGATTGACCCCTTAAAACGGATCGCTTTGTAAGCAGTCCGGCGCAAGGCTGCGTGACTATAAGGGTTCGTTTTGAGGAATCCATGCGAAGGGTTCTGTGAACATGCATTCCTTAGAATTGATTCCTCCATGCGTACTCCCCACGAATAGTTCACTGCAAGGGCCCCCATGGAAGGCTCCTAACGAAGAGCTAGTTGAAGGAATCCGTGCGTAGGCTTCATTCTGCAAAAAAATGATATTGAGCATGAGATTCGTAGTGCGGTTTCCTGCGCCATAGTTCCTTCATCAGGATTCAGTTTTTTTGTTTGTTAGAATTATCAACTCCCGAATGCGAATCCTTTTTTCTATGACTGATTCCTTATTTGGGTTTGGGTTGTTCGGGTGATTTACGACCCCTTTTTTATAACACAAAAAATATGATACGAAGACAACCCTAAGTCAAAGTCTTTGTGGGGCAATGGGGCGACCGGGCTATAGGGCGATGGGTTTATAGGACGATGGGGTTATAGGACTATAGAGCTATTGGGCTCTAGGTCCATAGGGCGATAGGGCCATAGGGTTATAGGACCATAGGGCTATAGGTATGTAGGGCTGCAGGGCTATATGGCTATCGGGCTACAGGGCCACAGGGCTATGAGTCAACAGGGCTGTGGGGCTATAGGGCTATAAGGCCATAAGGCCAGAGGGCTTTCGGAATATAGGGCTATTGGGCAAAAGGGCTGTAGGGCTATAGGACTATAGAGCTATTGGGTCTCAGGACGATAAGGCTATGGGGCTATAGGGCCATACGGCTACTGGGCTATGTGGCTATAGGGCTATTTGGTTGTGGGGCTATAAGGCTGTAAGGCTATAGGGCCTGGGGCATTAGGGCTATACGGGACCCTGGCGCCCGGGCACCTGGGAGGGCCGCGGAAATCGGTGGTACCCCTCACCTAGCGATATGAGTCCGCTCGGACCCCTACGGAGGCAAGCTTTGATTGGGGAGCCTTAACCGGGTTCCATACCACGATTGTTGAAGGGTGTTCAAGTGCTTCCGATCCTGGATTCCTTGATTTTCTTATGGGCCTTTTTTATTCAGGAGTGTTTATCCGGAGTTCCTGATTAATGATTCCGAGCAAGGGCTCCTCATTTTGTTTTTTGGTCTTTGTCCAGGATTCCTTGGTAAGGGGTCTTGTTGTTATATGACTCCTTATCGAGGATGCATGACTAAGAGTTCCTTCCGTACGGACTCCTTTGTGAAGCGCGTCTTTTTCCCTTTATGCCCTAGTGTTGGGTTTTCGTTTGAAGACAGCGCCCCGCGTCCACTCCTCACTCCTTCTCCCCCTCCTCCCTCCTCCCATATCTGCCTTTGCCTCCGCCTGTCCAACATTTCGGTACATCCCGAACACGTTTCATAGCCCCGCAGTGAGTTCCACCGAAGGCCCCAGCGGCAGGGTCCGCATGCCCCCCCCCCGCCCATGTTGCGACCGGTTCCGCATGCCTCCCCCTGCCCAGTCCGGCGCACTCTTCACGAGGATCCTGGCCCCATAGGCAACTCCCCGCATGCGTCCCCCCGCCCATTCGGCACACCCTTCACAAGGATCGTGGCCAGATACGGAGTTCCACCGAAGGCCCCAGTGGCAGCGCGCGCATGCGCACCCGCCTCCCGCCCATTTCGGCACACCCTCCACGAGGATCGTGACCCCATAGGGAGCCCCACCGAAGGCCCCGGCGGCAGGGTCCGCAAGCGTCCCCTCCCATTGGCACGCCCCTTACGAGGATCGTGGCCCCATAGGGAGTTCCACCGAAGGCCCCAGAGGCAGGGTCCGCATGCGTCCCCCCGCCCATTTCGGCATTCTCCTCACGAGGATCGTGGCCCCATAGGGAGCTCCACGGAACGCGGTACCCACAACGCGGTGTTCACAATTGCATTTGGTTGGGTCCTTCGCCGGGATAATGGTTTTTCGTTGTTCCGGAATTTTTGTTAAGGATTCCGTAGCATTAATTATTCACGAAAGATGTTCAATTCAGTCTTGTTGTGGAATATCTTTCTACTGGTTATTTATGAAGGTTTTTTAGTATGCTTCATTATTCCTGGAGTCCTAAGGATTCTTGACTAAGGGTCCTTTTAGTGCAGAGTTCTGAGTAAGGATTTCTCATCAAAGAGCCGTCACTCCCGCGGTGGCCACATCTTTCTTGGATGGGAATCCTCACTGGTACCACTGGCAGTGCTTAGAATACAAGAGGATGTGGCGGCAGGGTGCGTTACCCGTTGATCGTTGTTCGTCCCCTTGCCTGGGGCCCGCAAGAGGGGCCTGTACCCCCCTGTAAGGGCTGGAGCGTTGGATGGGGCCCACAGCCAGTGTCGTCACCATGCTGATGGTGATGGTGATGATGGTGATGATGATGATGGTGATGATGATGATGATGAAGATGATGACGATGATGACGATGATGATGACGATGAGGAGGAGGGGTTGCTAGGAAGAAGAAGGAAGAGGATGCGGAAGGAGGAAGGAGGAAGGAATGACGCGGGGCGCAGTCTCTTCAAAGCGAGGATTCAACACCACAGGACGATTGGGAATACAAGATTTTGACGAAGGATTCACAATATGAAAGTGATAGTGCCGCAAGGCAGGTGGGACGAAAAGGGGGAGCTCGCTATGGGGCCACGAAGCGTGAGAGGGGTGTGCCAAAATTGGCCAGGGGGGGCGCATGCGGGCGCTGCCGCTGGGGTCTTCGGTGGAGCTCCTTGTTGGGCCACGAGGAGCGCGACTGGTGTGCCAAGAACGAATGAGGGGTGTGCCAAAAGGGGCGGGGGGACGTATGCGGGCGCTGCCATTGGGGCCTTCGGTGGAGCTCCCTCTGGGCCCACGAAGCGTGTGAGGTGTGTGCCTTAAGTGGCGGGGGGGCGTATGCGGGCGCTGCCACTGGGGCCTTCGGAGGAGCCCCCTACAGGGGCCCCGAAACGTGTCAGTGTTGTGACAAAATGGGTGGGGAGACGCATGCGGGCGCTGCCACTGGGGCCTTCGGTGGAGCTCCCTCTGGGCACACGAAGCGTGTGAGGTGTGTGCCTTAAGTGGCGGGGGGGCGTATGCGGGCGCTGCCACTGGGGCCTTCGGTGCACCTCCCTGTGGGGCCACGATACGTGTGAGGGGTTTGCCAAAATGGGCGGGGGGACGCGTGCGGCCGCTGTCACTGAGGCCTTCGGTGGAGCTCATCCGGGAGCGACAAAACGTGCGAGGGGTGTGCCGAAATGGGCGGGGGGACGCATGTGGGCGTTGCCACTGGGATCTGTGGAGTTCCTACGGGTGTGCCAACACAGGCGGGGGGCGCATGCGGGCGCTGCGATTGCGGCCCTCGGTGGACCTACCCATGGGGCCACGAGGTGTGTAATGGGTGTGCAGAAAGTGGCGGAGGGACGTATGCGGGGTCTGCCACTGTGGCCTTCGGAGGAGACCCTTATGGGGCCAAGAAGAGTGGGCCAACATTGGTGCTGATGGCGATGGTAGTGATGGCGAGGGCGATTGCGACGGTGATGGTGATGGCGATGGTGATGGTGATGGTGTCGGCGATAGCGATGGCGATGGTTGTGGCGGCGCTGCTGCTGACGACGATGGTGGTGATGATGAGGATGATGGTGATGGCGATGATGACGCTGATGATGATGCTGGCGCTGATGGTGATGATGAAGTTGATGATCGTGATGATGATGCTGATGATAATGCTGATGCTGATGTTGACGATGATGTCGACGACGACAACTCTGTTGATGCCGATGATGGTGATGATGTTGCTGATGATGATAACGATGGCGACGACGATGATGATGGTGAATATGATGATCATGATGATGATACTGATGTTACTGGTACTGCTCGTGATGGCAATAATGGTGGTGATGCTGATGACGATGGCGAGTTTGATGATGATGCTGATGATGTCGGCGATGACGGAGATGACGCTGATGAAGATTGTGATGATGGTGATCATCATCATAATATCGATGATGATGACGATGATATTGATGATAATGCTGATGATGACGTTGTTGATAGTGATGACGATGTTGTTGATGACGATCGTTACGAAAATGATGATGATGATGATGAGGAGGAGGAGGATGAGGATGATGATGATGATGATGATGCTGATGATGACGATGATGCTGTTGCTGATGATGATGGCGATGATGATAAAGCTGATGATGATGCTGATGCTGATGATGAGGCTGCTGATGATGACGACGGTGATGCTGACGATAACGATGACGACGATGATGATTCTAATGAAAAAGAAGAAGAGGCAGAGGAAGAGGAGGAGGGGAAGGATGAGTAGGAGGAGGAGGAGGAAGAGGATAATGGATGAAGGAAGGAATGACATGGGGCGCTGATTGTACAACGAAGACCCACCACCACATGCTGATTTGGACACGCACGCACGACATACATATTTCCGGTACGTTTGAGTTTCGCGAGGAGCGTGTTTCGAGTTCGAAAGTTCGAAAGCACCTCCTAATCGTCAATATGCAACAGAGCTTGCATTGGAAAACCCTACGAAGACATCGAACCGTGGCCGGTTCCTTCAGGAGGAGGAGGGGGAGAAAGGTAATGAGGAGGAGATGAAGTAGAAGTTGGACGATCGGGCGGAGCACGGTCGGGATAAGTCGGCGACCAGGACCAGGAGGAGGAGGAGGCGGAAGAGGAGGAGAATGAGGAGGAGGAGGAGGAGGAGTAGGGTGACGGTGACGAGGAGGCTGACTCCGACACAGACGACGAGGGCGAGGACGAGAGCGACGGAGATAACAACGAAGACACACAACAGTGACGATGGCGCGATGACGACGAGGACGATGACGGTTGCGCCGACGCCGCTGCCGCCGATGCGACGACGAACATCGACGAGGACGACGGCGAAGGCGACGGCGAGGGTGACGGCGACGCCGCCGCCGATGAGGCCGAGGGCGGCGGCGGCGGCCACGGCGGCGGCGGCGAGGCCTCCCCCCCCCGCAGAGGACCCCCCGCGACGCGCCGCGGGCCGCGGGCGACAGCGGTGCAGCCAGGCTGCCGCTGGGCGAGGCGCGGGCCTCTTGTCTCCGTGCGTCGCCTCTTCCCACCTCGTCCTACACCCCCCCTCCCCCCGAAACTCCCTCTCCTCTGCGTTCTCCTTTCCTCATCCTCCTCTTCCTTCTCCTCCTCCTCCTCCTCCTCCTTCTCCTCCCCCTCCTCGTGCCATCCTTCCCTCGCTTTTCCTCATCGTCGCCGTCCTCCATGGCCCTTCCCGAGGGGGAGAAAAGATGACGTCGTCCTCCTGGGGTTTGTCCCCCTTCACATTCAATGCCTCCTAGTCCTTTCCTCCTCGTCCCGCCGCAGCGTTGGCCTTCCTTTCAAATTGGCCGCAACATTTAGAAAATGTCCTTCGCAACAAAAACCATCGGGAGTGATTGCCCATTCTGTGTGGATTCGCTGATCTTCTGGGCCGCGGAACCTCCCCCCATTGGGGCTGTGCGTTTTCAGGACCTATCAAGCGGGACGCCCGTTTCTGCTTTGAGGTGACGACGTTGGAACCAGAGCCAACAGGTGCTCTCCATCAGCCCCGCCCGGCATGATGCTGCTCGGGGACCCAAGGAGCTAGACATGGCGCCGCGACTCCAGAATGGCCCAGATCTCGCGAAGACGATCTACTTTCCCTCCAAAGGACCTGGCGTCATGCCGTGACATGCTGTGCGGCGACGTGTTTTGCGCTTGCGTGCGGTGCCATGCTTTGTATTGCAATTGTTGTGATGCAGTGATTCACTGCGCAATGCCACGCCATGCCATGGCATGCAACGTTCTGCCGTGTTTTCCAACGTCATGCCATGCCGTGCTCTACCTTGCTTCACGCACCCTCCTGCGGTCACTGTCATGATCGACATCCGATTGTCCGAATAAAACAGATACCTATACCATGGGGAGGGATGGGAGGAAGGATAGGGCGTCAGATACGACGCGGGCGCACCTAGCTTGCCCCTTCGACCTCCCTTTGCCCCCCCTGCGGAATTTACGGTTCCTTCTGTTGGTAAACGACGCCCCATGATGGCCTTTTTCCGCGTTCCTGGAGCCCCGAGGACCCACGCGAGGCACGCGTGTAACAAAACACATTGATGTGATAATGCGTTTGCGACATGATGTGCCGCGGCCGTTCTGGCGCGAGGATCCGACAGCGAAAGGGGATCTCATGATCAGATAATTGTCGTCCGAATGGCAGCGGGACGCGGGTGATCAGACGCGCCGGTTCGCGGCGCGCCGCGATGAACGCAGGGGCACTCGCGGCGGAGTTGCAGGGTGCGAAGCGAGAGCTCGGACGGCTGCTCGGTATAATGGAGACGCAGAACACGACGATCGAGGAGTTCAATGTTGCGTTCCCAGACGGGGCGGCGGCCATCGCTGTGGCTGCGGTTCGGACCAGACAGCTCTCGGCCCCGATCATAGGAGACGGGCGGGCCGCCGACGTTCGACAACGCGAGAAAGCCAGACTTTCTCGACTGGGTCTTTAAGTTCAAGGCGCTCGTGGACAACCAGGGCAGGACGCGCCTCGAGGGGATGGCGCAGGTCGAGCTTATCCGGAACGAGCTGAACCACAGCAAGTACGACGAGGATAGGAGACAGATGACCCAGTCGCTCTTCTACCAGCTGACGATGTACACGGAGGCGCCCCGCTCGGCATCTTACGGGAAGTTTGCAATCTGGACGCGTTCGATGCCTATCGTCGTTTGAGTTTCCAGTGCGACCCGCAGAACACGGGAAGCACCCTCACGAGGTTGATGAAGGTGCTGGAGTTCGACTTCGGAGGCGAGGGCTAGTTTTTCGACGACATCGCCAAGTTCGAGATACCGACCGAAGAGTATGAGAGGCTGACCGAGTAGCAGCGTAGCGACGACATCCGCGCGACCGTCCTGATCGCACGCGCCCCCTATGCGTTTGGGGGCCACGCGATGATCGCCATCCCGAAGGGGGGACATGCAGTGGCCTCGCGTGAAGCAGGTTGCTGAGGACTTCTTGCTGACGAAACGGCCCATGCCTGGAGGGGCTGCGCGGGCGTCAGCGGCGTCTTCCAAGCCGCGGTGGAAAGGCGTCGAGGGCAAGGGCGGCGGGCAGAGCTATGGCGACGGCAAGAAAGACAAGGGCCAAGGCGGAGACAACCAGCAGAAGAGAGATGGCGGCGAGCACGACGGGAAGAAGTTCAACGGGCACCGCGGTCGATGCGGAAAGTGGTGGCGCCGACAGCGGGATTGCTGCGCCAGAGTCAACAACGTCGACGAATGGGAAGTTGGCGGCCGGGGCGAGAGTCAGAACTGGAGCGGATCCGGGGGCGACGCCGCCACCGCGAGGGACAGCGGCGGCGCGACGGCCAACGGCCGGAAGGACGAGACCAAGGTGTGTGCCAGTGCCGTCACGCGCCGCGAGCAAGAGGACGCGGCCCGGGTGTTCGCCGTCGGCGGCGTCGAAGGTCCGAGCGGCGCTCGCGCTGGACAGACCGTCGATATCACGGTGGAGACAGGCGCTGACTCGTCGGCGCGCGGGCCCAGGGACATCCCAGACGACCCGATCACGCGGGGCTGCAAGCTGGAGACCAAGGTCGCGAACGGCGCCGCCCCAAGCGCTACAGAGACACGGGTGAACCTCAGGGCCGAGAGTGGCGAGGACATCGGCGCGGGCCTCCACGCGACGGAAGTTGCAGGGCCGACCCTCAGCATCAACAGCGCCAACGGGGCAGGGGCTGGGATGGAGCCCTACCGCCGGGCTCGAGGGGCCCGCCCTCGATCGCGCGGGATTCGAAGAGTCATCGCAGAGGGGGCGATCGCGGCTTTGGCCCGCTCGGATGTTCGGGCCGCTCTTCACGTGCGCGACCGCCCTCAACTACGTCGGCGCGAGGGTCTGCGCGGAAGGGCCGGTCGCCAGCGACGCGGCCGCGGAGAACCAGGGCCAGCGCATCGCGACGGCGGTGGACCAACCATCGGGGCCGACGGCGCGACCCGAGGCATCGGTCGGCGATGGCAGCCCCGAACGAGCGGGTGAAGGCAGAAAGAGAATCTCATGGAGCATTTCGTTGGCCGCATGCAGCGCGGCGCATGGACTGCGCCGCAGGTCGTGGCCTGGACGACGAGCGCGAGGGGGCCAGGGAGATCGAGGGCGCCCCCGTGGTCTAGATCGATTACATGCTCGGGAAGACGCAGCGCGACAAAAAGGCGCACCAAGTCACGAGCGCGATCGACATCACATATCACGCCTCGGCATCAATATTGCGGGAGGCGAAAGGAGGCGGAGACGCATTCGCGGCGAAGAGTCTGAAGCGGCGCGCGCATTGGCTTGCGTTCGCGAAGGTAATCACCCAGTGTGGCCCCGAGAGTGCAGCACAGGACGCAGCGTTTAAGGTGGCGACGAACCTGAACCCGAGCTTCAGTTTCACACCCAAGGCGAGCAAGGGCAGCAACGGCATGGTGGAGCGGCTTCATTCATTGATCGAGGTCATGACGAGGACATGGAGAAGGGCCATTGGAGCGAAGTACGGGATCACGATCGAGTTGCGACACCCCATCATGGCTTGGATCGCGAGCCACGCCTCGTGGACGCACGATCGGCTCCTCGCCCGCCGCTCCGGCTGCAAGACCTTCTTCGAGCGCCGCCACTAGGCGAGACGGCCATGCGGAGGCGCCACCACTAGCGCGAGAGGCGCCACGACAAGAAGGCCCCACCACTTGGCGAGATGGTCATGCGGAGAGAGGCGGCGCTCAGGTTTCAGGAGCTCCTAGAGCGCATCGTGACTAGCTGCGGTTTCGAGGTGTGCAAGACGGAGCCCGCCATCTACCGCCGCAAGGAGAAGGGCATCAGGGTCGTTGCTCACAGGGGTCATCCTTTTGCCTCGGGCCCGACGCAGAGTGCGCTCGACGAGTTCTTCGACGAGCTGGTCAAGCACATAGCGAACGAAGGGCGGCGCGTTCTGGGTGAGGCCCCCGCGATCTAACTCGGGTCGTCGTTGCAGCGGTTCGGGGGCGTGATCGCGGAGAAGGGCAAGCCCGGCTGCGCGGGGGGCATCCTCGAGGCCGCGGAGATGCTCGGCTGCACGGCGGCGGGCGCTGCGGGGGGCGAGGCCAGACCTCGCGCAGCTTGGAGCCGAGTGGCCGCTCAGCAGCGAGAAGCACTCGCTGTGCAGGAGGTGCCCCGGGAAGATCCAGCGCGCCGTTCCGCGGAGGCTGGGCGCGGCGCGCCCGCTGAAGGAGTTGGGCAGACGGTTGAGCGGGCCTGAAGCACCTTCTCCGCTACCTCAGCGGGGCGATCGACCTGGCGATGGTCCGCCGCTCGCCACGGGTCCGGAAGCGTCTGCGAGGGATTGCCGGCTCTGACGGGGCAGGATGCCGCGAGACTCGAAAGTCGACGGCGCGCGGTCTCGCGCGGAGACGGCCCTGGCTCGCGGCGCGGCGCGGTCGTGTCCAGAGGCCAGGCACCTCGCGGCAGTGGAGCTCGCCGCGGAGATGCCGTGTGTGCGTGCTCTGGAGATAGAGTTTGACGCCTCCTCCGTCATCGCGATTGCCTCGCGGTCTCGGCAGGCTACGACACCTGGAGGTCAAGCGGCTATGGCTCCAGCAGCTCGTCGGGGCGGGGCAGATCAAGATCCCGAAAGTGGAAAGTGAAGGGCGCGGAGAACCTACCCGACGTCGGCGCCGGGCAAGGCGTGGCTTGAGACGCGCCGATCGACGCTGGGAATGGCGTCCGTTGGAACGTGCGGCGCCGGGGGCCGCCGGGGCTGCGGCGGCCCTGGCGGCGACGAAGGGGGCGCGATGCATGGCGGCGTTCATGGCGATGGCGAACGCAGTCAGGGCTGAGGCTACGACCGCGGCGACAACGACGACATCCACGCCAGACACGCGCGCGATAATCGCTCCTGTCTGGTCGGGTTCTGGACGGCGGCGGGCGGCGCTTGCGATCTGCTGTGTGCATCAACGCCAGCGAGGAGAAGCGGTCGCGGGCACTGGAGGTGCGACGCAGGTTGGGCCTGAGCAGGAGCGGGATCCAGATCCGCCTGCACCTGCAGCTCGCGCCCTGTCCCCAGATGCCGAACCACTTGGGATTGCTCGGGGCCGTGCATCGCCGCTCTACTCCTCGAGTCGGTGAGCGCGGTGGTTCACTCGTCGGCGATGTGCAGCGGGCTTCAAGGTCGTGCGAGACGATTCATCTTCGTGCTGAATGCCTGATCTGCACGTGGCCCGCGCCTGCCGGCGCGCCCGCGATGTTTCTCGCAGGTGCCGAGGCGCCCGCGATTCACGCCGACGAGAGCTGCCGGGGCTCCGGTCGAGGAGACACCGCCTCATGTTGAGGCGGATTTGCGCGCTGTGTCGTGGACGGTGAGGCTCGCGCCCTTCCGCGAGCCCTTTCCGCCATGCCTGACTTGGCGCGCCTATCGCGCTGCTCGCCGAGGCTGGAGGTCCTGTGTCTGACTCGCGGGCCCCTCGACAGGAGGCTCGAGGAGGGGCGTCGGTAAGCGGCGCCCCTAATGGCCCCCTTCGTGTTCCTGGAGCCCCGGGCCCCGCATGAGGCATGCATGTTGCATGACGTAGATTTTATAACGAATGTGTGGCACGGTGTACTGCGGCCGTTCTGGCGCGAGGATCCGAGAGTGAAACTGGACTGCATGATCAGATGATTGCTGTCAAGACCTTTAGCTTCGCATTGCGATTTGCGTGCGGTTCTGGCCCATCGCCCATCCTGAATGTGAGTTCGTTACATCCGAGGCAGGCCAAAATCGGCACCCTCCTCAACCTCTGCAAGACAAATGTGCGCCGACAGTCACTTACCAAACACCAGACGTTTCCAAAACAAACCTTTCTAAACAATTGCGAAGTGCACGCGCGCGCGCGCCGTCGCGCGCGCGCGCCAAATCAGTCAGAAACCATTGGTTTCGCAACGGTTGCAGCCGAGCACCCCGAACACGTATAACAAGACATGGCTTCGCAACGTGAATTTCCAACAGAACTTGCGCCCGCGCCCTGGCGAATTCTTAGGAAAGCCATCGGCTCCTCAACAGGTTCATGTCATGCTGCCAGCTGGGCCTTTCGCGCGCGCAAGTCGAAATCGTTCGAGCGCCCCTGCGCGCACGCTGTCGCAAGAGCCCCATGCGAAACTTGGGACGAAACGCGCGCGCGCCCCGTCATCTGCCAAAACCCGAGGTTTCGCCCAGATCTCCGGATTGAGCGCCCCGAACACATATCGAAACATATGGCGCTGCAGCGCCCGTTTACAAGACACGCCTGCGAGCGCACTTTTTGCAACTTCTTAAGGCAACCATCGATTCTTATACTTTGAGTAAATCTATTAGACGGGCCTCTCGCGTCGCATATCGAAGTCATTCTAACCGACGCCCTTGCGAGCTTGTTCTTTGTGTTTTTTTTTGGGGGGGGCGCGGTTCGCTTCGAAGAATGCCATGCGGGCCTTTCTCGCGCGTCGGCCGCGCGCGCATGTCGAACGCCTTCCACAATCTTCATCGCCGACGCGGGGGCGCCGTCGTAGTCGTCGGCGCGATCAACGTCGGCGCCGTCGTTGGCCTCGCCGTCGCCGTTGTCGTCGTCGCCGCAAGCGTCGCCGTCATGATCCTCGCGTCGGCCGCTGTCGACGTCGCCATGACACCGCGCCCGCCCACGTCGCCGACTCGCGTTGAAGGGCCCGCTGGGAAGTGCCCAGCGGCGAGCGCCACCGCGGCCGCGTCGGTCGCGCCAACCGAGCTGCCCACTACGCGCGCGAGAATGCGCGGGCTAGCCCTGCCGCAGAGATGCACCAGCCGACGCCGATCACACATCGCAGTCGCCGCCGCGTGGGCTTTTTCGGGCCAAGTTGCGGGTGGGCGCGTGGGATGATTGCGCGAGTGGTGGAGTTGACAATTCTCTGCGAACGGAAATTTGCTGTCATTGAAAAACTCGGACCCAGTGCCCTCCCGACGCGGGACTTATCGCTGCCCTCTGGGGATGCGCAATTAACAGATGATTCTGCCGCTTCGTCCATCCTAAGCATGAGTTCGTGCCGTCCCAGGCAGGCAAGAGTTTCCCCCCTCACCCTTTGCCAAAAAACGGCGCGCGCATTGTTTTATCGCACCATCGCCCTGTTTCACTCCCCTGCAATGAATGCGACGAAGTGCGCGCGCGTCGTCGGGCGCGCATGCCGACATGTTTCGAAAACCTTAGGTTTCGCGCGCATTTCAGAATCAAGTACCCCGGGCACATTTTAACATCCATTGTTTCGAAACACGGTTTTTTTGACATCAAAAAATGTTTTGCGCCCGCGCTCTTGCGAATTCTTAAGCTTCTCGCGAGCGCGTCGAAATCGCTCGAACGCCCTTGCGCGCGCGCCGTCGCGAGAATCCCTTCCCGAACATGAGACGAAGTGCACGCGCGCGTCGTCGCGCGCGCGCCGCGCAACTTCTACAACATTCTTGGTTTCGTAAGAACGCTTTCCAACAAGCATCTTTAAACGCAGAACACAAATGGTTTTGCAACATCAATTTTCACGCAGTGCCTGCGCGCGCGCTCTGCCGAATACTTACAACAACCGTAAACAAGTTGTTGTCGCATTTTGCAAAATGGGCTTCCCGCGCCGCGCGTCGAACTCACCCGAACGCCCTTGCGCGCGTGCCGGGGGGGGGGGGGGGCGACTCGTGCAAAATAACTCCACGCGGGCCACTCCGCGCGCGTGGGCCGCGCGCGCATGTCGAACCCCTTCAAAAAAGTCATCGCCGATTCCAATGCATCGTCATCGTGATCGGCGGGCGCGATCAACGTCGGCGTCGCCATTGGCCCATTTGTCGTCGCCGCCACCTCGCCACCGTCATCGCTATTCTCACCGTCGCGTCGACCGCTGTCGGCGTCGCCATGCTACCGCGCCCGCCCACGTCGCCGACTCGCGCTCAAGTGCCCGCTGGAAGGGCCTGCGCGCGCGAGCATGCGCGGGCTAGCGCGGCAGCAGCGCCAGCCAACGCCAAACACTCATCGCAATCGCCGCCGCATGGGTCCTGGTAGCCAAGTTACGGGCGGGCGGATTGGTTGATGGCGCGAGCGGTGGAGTTTTGCGAACAGTGGCATCTTTGCGCGAGCAGTGGAGTTATTTTTCGAGTTCGGCATGGTGAATTGCGCCGCGTAGGCTGCGCCACATATGCTGCACGCGCATATATGTTCGCCCCCTGCATTGATCACCTCGAGTTATCCACGCGTTGGAGGTCGCGGGGCTCAGGTTGGGGCGTCCTGGGGCCCATCAGCTGCCGCCCCACCACGTGGATTGTTGTTGGCTGTGCTGATGCTGCAGGGGGATCGTCGCACCGTGTTCAGACTTACCTGTTTACGCTTGCTCTCAGGCAAGTTGTATGAGATTCGAGAAGCGGCGCCAGTGATCTGAATGACTGAGTGCAAATATGTTGCGCCACATCGATAACGCAACATGCGTTGCATCATTTGAAGAGCACCGCGCCGATTGCACCGTACACGTTGCGCACCTCAGACATTGGCCTACGTAGATTGCATCATACAATTGCACCACATGTATTACACAGCAGAGACTGCACCGCAACAGTTGCGCACTACACAGATTCTCGTCTTCCCGCGCAAAACATTAGGATTTCCCCCCCCCGTCCCAAGGGTAAACGATGCACCCTTTTTCGCATTTCAGTGTACATATGATTCCGCCCCAATCGTCCATCCTAAATATGAATTCCTGCCGTCCCAGCCAGGCCGGAATCCCCCCTCTCATCCTTCGCAAGAAGTGCTACGCGCGTGCATTCGTTTTTCAACCAGGAGTCACCCGTTTCCAAGTTTCTTTTTTATTCGAATACGGGGGCGAAATGCCCGCGCCCGCGCCGTCGCGCGCGCATGCCGAAATCAATCAAGAACCGTCGGTTTCGTAAGGGTTTCAAAATGGAGCGCCCCGAAACCTAAAACCACATGGCTTTGCACCACCAATTGAACAGATGCTGCGCTCGCGGCCGTACGGATTCGTTCAAACAACACCGTTCATTTTCAACGTGTGTATTATCAAATTCAGCCAAACGGACCTCTCGCGCCGCGTGTCGAACTCATCCGAACGCCCTTGCGCGCGTGCGGGGGGGGGGGGGCGGGCGGGCACGACTCGTGCCAAATAGTTCCAGGCGCGCCACTCGCGCGCGTCGGCCGCGCGCGCATGTCGAACTCCATCAAAACCCTTCATCAGTGGCGCGTGGACATCGTCATCGTCGTCGGCGGGCGTGATCAACATCGGTGCCGTCATTGGCCTTCCCGTCGTCATCGCCACCATCGCCACCATCATCGCTACTCTCATTATCATGTCTACCGTTTGTCGGGTCGCCATGAGACCATTCCCGCCCACGTCATCGGTTCGCACTGAAGGGCCCGTTGGGCAGTGCCCAGCGGTCAGCGCCACCGCGGCCGCGCCGGTCGCGCCAAATTAGCTGGCCGTTGTGCGCGCCAGCGTGCGAGGGCTAGCGCTGCCGCAGTGATGCGCCAGCCAGCGCGAAGAACTCATCGCAATCGACGTATCATGGGTGTCGCAAAACGAGTTGCGGGTGGGTGGGTGGGATGTGTGCAAGAGCGCGGAATGTGTCAACTCATTTGTGAACATCAACTGCACCACACAGATTGACCCAAGTACGTTGCACAATATGATGTGTTGTTATTTGTTGTTAGGGATACACTCGCTAGTGTCCACGCTGGCTAAGCTATTTCCTTACTGCTGTTGCTACCTGCCCCAGTTCATATTAGCTCCAACCGGTTCGCCAGTACGGAGCCAACCCAGTGTCGAACAGGGGCGCTCTTCGTAGGGGGAGTGTTTTTGCAATTCGGCTTAATCTGGTTTCGTGCTTATCCCCTGGCCCCATCTGGCGTAGCAGATCCATAACGGTATGCCTTTTTGCAACTCCCAATTGTGCCCGTCAAAGCATCCCCAAATTCTGCCACCGGTAGTTCATCTCTCCTCCCTGCTCCCCGTCAGACCCAGGCCGCCATTCGGGAGAGGCTGACGCAGCGGCTGATGGAGACCACCTCGGCCAAGGATGGGCGGTTCGGCAGATAGGGTCGCAGTCGGGCAGGCAGGGCCGCCTGCGATCCGATTCATGCGATTCGATTCGTTGGCTGGGGCCGTGACTCCGATTCGATTCAGCGCGGTTCTATTCACCAGCATCGGCCAGCTGGAGCAGGGCTCGGCGACCTGATTTGGATCCGTCGGAACGGTTCGTTGGCGATCCGATCCGTTTCCGATCCAATCCAGTTTCACGATTCGATCCAGCGCAGGCCTAGCAGGCAGGGAAGATCGTCTCGGGTCCCCGCGGGAGGATTCCTGCCTCCTCCCAGAAGGAGGAGGAGGAGGAGGAGGAGGAGGAGGAGGAGGAGGAGGAGGAGGAGGGGAAGGGGGCTTGACGGGGAGAAGGCGGAGGGTGGTTCGTGGGTGGTGCCGCAGATCGAGGCAAACTCTGGCCGAGGGCTCTCGTTTGCACACCGTGCACAGCTTGCTTACGGGGTGGCTTCGTCGCCGCCGCGTCGGCTAAACAACAAGCTTACCAGCAGGTGCCCCACAGTCTCCCGATGGCCCCGGGGACCTACAGAAGCCTTGGGGCACCTTCGGAAGCTCACACTCTGACGACAGACGTGCCCCTCGACTTTTATCGCAAGATTTCTTCTCGTGCTCTACTGCACCGGTGTGCGGAAGGAGCTTCCAGGCTGTGATCCATACATCTTGTGTGCCTGTTCGGTGTTTTCCCGC